AAGTGTACCCAACCTTTTTTAAACGACGAAACGCAGTTGATTTGTTGACGTTTAATTCACTGGCAACCTCTTCCGTCGAAATACGTGAGTTAATGGCAACTAAATTCCTTAAATCATCGTCATCAAGCTTAGAAGGCCGTCCACTGCGAGGTTGATCTTCGAGGTTAAAATCTCCAGAACGAAATTTCGCGAACCATTTCTGTACTGTTATTTTATGCTTGACTTACAGTTCGGACTGTCACCCTTCCAACGATATATAATATGTTTATATTTCTTTCACGAGCGCCACTCTCAAACGATTCTAACGGCATCCAGCGGAATCGGGCACGAACTTATGCACTCATCCAATAAAATATGTATTGTATAATAAGTAAAATATATATGCAAAATAAAATAAAAAAGTAAAATGAAATAAAAAAGTAAAATAAAACAAAATTCAATGAAATAAAATTAAATTAAATCAACTAAACTAAACAAAACTAAATCAAATAAAATTAAATAATATAAACTAAATTAAGAACAAAAACTAAATAAATTGTAAAAAATAAGATAAAATAAAACGCAACGATAAAAATAATATAAAATAAAATAAAAAAAATTAAATATAATACTCAAAAGATTAAATTAAAAATAATAATAAAAAATATCACGATTAAGCAAATGAAACCAAATTAAACGCGAAAAATTATTACAATATAGAAGAAAATACAGAAAATAAAGTGAAATAAAATAACCAAAAAAAAAAAATGTGAAACACAAAAGTAAAATCCAAGAAATAAAATACATTGAAGTAAACTAAAATAGAAAAGAATTAAATGAACAACGAAAAAATCAGGATTGATAAAAGAAATGAAAATTTAACTGTATTAAGAGAGAAGAAATTAAAAGTAAAGTGTAACAAAAAAATTAAAATAAAATTAACAAAAAAATAAAAATAAAATACAATAATTAAATTGAAATATAACAAAATAAAAAATAATTATAAAAAGATGTTGAATTAAATTATAAGTTGATTTAGATTAAATTAAATATAAAAATTAAAATAAAAATAAAATAATAAACCAATTCTAAGAATGATTTTAATAAACTTAATAAAAAAATTAAGTACAAAATATAGTAACATAAACTAACAAAAAATTAATTACAGCAATTTGAAATAGAATAGTTTGAAAAACAAACAGAACAAAAAAAAAAAAAATTATGCATACATAATTGAATCGTTTTTTAAAGGCTGCTAAGTCTACAAGTACCACTTATTTATGTTAAGCGTCTCAATTATTTTCCACATTCATTTATAAACGGCAATTGACACATTGCCGCCAATGGCGCCGCCTTCATAATTGCGTGCGTGTGGCGTGGTGATATAAATACTTTTCCGCCAAACATGCATGCACTTCCTATTTCGTTTTACGCAAGCTGAAATGTAACATATATCTATACTCGTATGTAAATTTACATACTAGTATATAAAATAAAAAAATAAAAACGTAAAAGCAAATTCATTAAAATTATTTGAATGTCAACCGTCTATCCCTTCCCCGCCCACCGGGCGCTTAAGCCTACGCTCTTCATAGATTGATGGATGACGCAGTTTAATATTATTATTTGTTTACATATATGTATGTATCTATACATATTAATGTATCAATAAAAATAATAAACTCGCTCATACGTATTTACTAATAATTTTTCGTATGCGCAAATGATAAGATTGTTTTTTATTAATAAAGCAAAACCTCATACATTGCATATAAACATTTAACTGATTATATTGCACGCACAACGTATTGTATAAATTTATATACATATACATATGTACATACATATGGTCACTATATTACTCACACCGGATTGAAGCAGATCATATCGTAAATTGGAAATAAAAGTCAATACACGCCTACCAAATGGCAAGTCACAATGGAAATGGAGTATAATTATTAAATTTTTTTTGTTGATTTTATTATTTTATTTTGCCAAAAATATGAGTAATTTTAGTGGTATTTTTTCTTGAAATTTTTAATAATTATTTATATTTGGATACGAGCGGATATTATCTTATTATATAGAATATTAATTTATAAAATAAAAAATGTATTTTTTTAATAATTCAATTTAGCTTAGTTAAAAAATATTTTGAAAATTAAGTTTAATTTTTTCTTAAGTCACTGTAAAGCTTATAAAAAAACTGAACATTTTTCTTTTATTTTTTCCTATTTTCTAAAACAGTATTTTATTAAACTTGTTTCGTACTTTTAAACACTATTCAAGCATAGATTTTCAATTAAAAACTTGTAGTTAAGTTGAATTTTGGTTCTTGAGGCACACAATGCGTATCAATAGGCGCACAGGAAGTTGCTGGCGGCGAACCGCGGACATCTGACCGTATGACTAATCGCTGATAATATGACACGAGTACATTGATAAAAACGTAGTATAAATACGAATATGTGAAAGAAAAAAAAATTAACACTTAACACTTTTTATGCCACATATTTCTCGGTCTTTAAGATAAGATAAATAATAATATAAGATTTTTTCCCTAATTTTTTTTGGGGTTTTCGCTTAATTATTATAACTGTCTACATTATAAAAGTTAATGTTTTTTTGCGGTATTCTCCAATATCTAAAGGAAGCCATGCAGAACATAAGTTCACACTACCACTAGCATATATAATATAAATAAAGGCGAGTCCAACACATCAGCTGCTCGTGATGTTAAGAGCACGTAATAATGATAATATTGTCATTTATGTACATATGTATATTTGTAGCAAACTTTCAAGTAAACCAGTAATCAAAAAAAAAAAAAACTGCGTCGCAGAATTTTGTTGAATTAAAATCGGTGTAAAACAGGAACCGATGTGGTATTATCTGAAGAACTTTAAAAATAATAAATAAGCTAAAAAAATATAAATCAAAAAGAAATAAATTAAAATTTATCGAAATAATAAATTAAATTAAATTATATATAATAAAATAATATAAATTAAAAAAAAATAAAGTAAAATAACATAACATAACATAACATAAAATAAATAAAATAAAATAATATAAAATAAAATAAAATTAAATAAAATGAAAAAAGTTAAATAAAGTAAAATAACATAACATATGAAAAAAGTTAAATAAAGTAAAATAACATAACATAAAATAAATAAAATAAAATAAAATTAAATAAATAAAATAAAATAAAATTAAATAAAATAAAATAAAGTAAATAAAAATAAAATAAAGCCAATAAATTAAATTTAAAAGATAAATCAAATAGAATACTGAAAAATATATACATAAAATGAAAAGTAAAATAAAATATTAAGTTGAATAAGCAAATAAAAAAAATTAAATAAAATAAAATAAAATATCTTAAATTGAATAAAGAAAATTAAAAAATGAAACAGAAGAAAACTAAATAAGAAATAAAATAAATTAAACTAGAGTAAAAAAAATAATATAAAATTAAAAAAGTAAAATATATTATTTAAAAAAAAAAAATAAAATTAAATTAAATAAAACAAAATAAATTAAAAGAGTATACAACTATTAAATAAAATAAAAAATAGAAACAATTTATCTCCACTAAACACTGTATTTAATAATTCAAGAAACTTTTTATATAAACAAATAAAAAACTTAAAAAACATATATATATATATATATATATATCAAAGTCCAATGTATATTGATAAGGGCTGTTAATTAAAATTTTTGAAAAAAAATCGGCAAAAATTTTAAATCATTTGGTATTCCCAAGAGCCACTTTTTATATCGACTCTAGTTTGTGACAAAATATATTGGTTATATTCTTATGTCGCCATAAGGAAAGAATTTCAAACGCCGGCGCCAAGCACGAGACTAGCAGTTTATCACTGTCACCACATGAGCTACAATAAATGGATAATTTTGTTAAAAAGAAACCAATAAAACAAATAAAATTTAAATAAAATAAATATAACTATATAAAAAAGGAATATATAAAAAATTGAATACAATAAAATAAAATAAAAAAATTAAATAAAAAAAATAAAATAAAAAAATAAAATAAAAAAAATAAAATATAAAAAATAAAATCATCTAAAAAAATGTAATAAAAATTAAATAAAAAACAATTTAACTAATATAATTGGGAAATAAAATGTGTTCAAGTAAAATATAATATAAAAAAATCTATTAAGAAACGTTTTTTAAAAAGGTATAGCCTAATTGGGTAGGCAATAAATAGCGCGTTACCAAAATAAATATTATTTGAAGACAAATATTATTTGCTTAATTGTCAAGAGTTCAGTGGAATTATAAATTTCTTTGCATATATTTAGAATTAACGAAAGAAGAAGAGAAAAAACAAATTTATATATATATATTTTTTTTAATAAAAAATTTTTTTTTTTTCCCCTTTTTTTGCTATATTATACATAAATAAATGAAAGCCAAATACGTTTATAGCACATGTACATATGTTTGCACTCAAAAATAAGATAATATGCACATAGTACATTTGTTTGTCGTACACAAAAATGCATAAACTTTGTTCATTAAAAACTTGCGAACAAACCTGAAAACAATGGCAACTCGTTATGCTGTCAACCAGCTATGAGTAAGTACATACATATGTACCTATATATATATACAAATGTACATATATAAAAAGAATCGCAGCGCAAACCGTTAGCTATGCATTATTGGCATTCTTTGTGTCAGAGAATAGCAAAAAAAAAAGTACATAATCATAAATTTTATTTTTAGAATTTTTCTTTTCAAATTTGCCGGTTTTCTATACTATTTTGCATTTTTATTATACCGTTATTAGAATTTAACAAACAATGGCGCAGTAATAATAGAAAAAAAAGCAATGTGAAAAATAGTTAGCATTTTTCCGAGCTCATTTATATTTTACTATTAAAAATTATTTTCACAGCGATTTGAGAAAAATTCAAAAAAGGAAGAAATCCATTTGTAATCCACTAATTCCTCTCCCTTCTCTCTATCTCTTTTTCCACTTGCAGATGACACTGTGCAACGTAATGGTAGCAGAGTTGGTCAGCAAATACGTAATCCCAGATATTACCAACAACAACAACAACACAATACGAAAACTGATTCATCTGATTCGGGTATTTCAACAAATGGACGTCATCATCATCATCATCACCATAATCATCAACAACCACAGCATCGACAACAACAACAACAACAGCAGCAACAGCAAAATCAGAAACAACGCAAATCGCGTTTAAATAGTAAACGACAAGAAAATACAGCAACAACAACAACACAGAAGCGTACAACCGATTACTCAGTTGATGATTGGTTAGGTCGTGATGATATGGTTTACTGTTACGATCATCGGTATATATCTTCATGCGCGGAAGGTGAGTAAAGAAAATACAATTATTCTAGAAAAAAGTTATTTTGGAAAAAATCTATTTTTTATGAAGACCGAATTGAAGATGAGTAGGAAAATGAATTAACAACAGTTTGTTGAAAAAAAGTGCGGGCTGATGAGCGGAGAGGCGTGAATGGGTTTGGAGTAGCATATGTGCATCTGCAGTTAGAATAAAGACATTGCTAATGACTTTGAAATAAAGAAATTAAAAAACTATTAAAACGAACAAAGCAATAAAAATAATTAACAAACGATTAAAAAATATTAAAAAAAGCTTAAAAAATAAACAAAAGTAAAATAAATAAATATAAATTATTCATTTGGGGAAAAATTTTTTTTTCTTTCATATTTAAAAATACTCACACGTTTTTCTCAATTTTTCTTAGATTTCAAAAAAAAATTTTTTATTTTATCTTTTAATTTTGAACTTGAAATTTTTTTACATATGTGTACATACAGTTAAAATAAATGACTGAAATTAAAGTTTTGCAAAACAGATTTTACTTAAATTTGAAAAAATTAAATAAAAAAAGAATTCAAATAAAAAATTACAATAAAAAAGTTGAAAATTAAAAAATAATAAAAAATTACAAATTTACAAAAAATGTAAAAAAATAAGAAAAAAAACTTTAAAAAAGTAACTGAATTAAAAATAGATAAAACTAAATTAATTTTTTAGGGAAATAAAGTTTCTAAGTATTTTAAATTAAATAAGAGTTGGAGAATAATTTTTTTTCAAGATCTTAAAATATGCAAAAAGTTTTCTTAACTTTTTTTCAGTTTTAAAAAATTTGTTTTGTTATAATTTTTAACCTTCAATTTTTTGAATAAAATTTTAGTTTGTTGATTTTGTCTGAAAATGCTGGTATAAAAACAAAACTTCATATTTAGAAAATATTTCACCGCTAAAAAAAAAAAAATTGGTAAGAAATGTTTTTCTTCGAAAGTGAACTCAGCAACGTGAAATAGCCATCGTATGAGTCAAACAAGAAGTTAAGAAATTACAAAGCCCAATGTATAAAACAATCAGGGAAATGAAAATAAATAAATAAAAAATTACAACAACAACGAAACAATAAATTTATTGTGAAACATCAACAAATTTTAGTATAAAATTTTGTTTTAAATATTTTTGTAACTTTTGTTTTATTTTTTTGGATAAACCAACATTTGAAAAAATTTTTTGGACGAAAAAAAAAAATTAAACAATTAAACAATTTTTTTTTTGCTAACATTTCAATCACATCCAATCATTTGTGGTACTTGTGAAAAACATTTCACACATAAAATCAATCTAGCGGCAGTTCTTTGTACAGTGAAATATATGCTGGTGTTCATGTGTATTCTATTTATTTTTATTGTACTTACAACAAAATTAATGTATAAAAAGCTATAAAAGACGCGTGGGTTAGAAATGGAGCGAGCTATCAACGCTGTCCGAAGAGCATATATAATGAACATTTTTTAAAGGAATTCACCAAAATATTCTGAATATTTACAGTACTGAATGAATTAAAAAAAAAAAAAAATAAATAACAAAATATTAAATTAATATATTTTCAATAATAAAATGCAAAAATCTTAAAAAAATTTAATTTTTATTAAACGAAATTTAATTTTTACTATTTTTGTTTATTTTTTTATTTTAAACATTTTTTTTCAAAGAATAATTTTTTTTGAGGATAATTAAATAAAATACCACAGCAATCACATGCCATAACATTAAGTATTTAAATGAAATTATTAAAAAATATTTTCCGTATTTTAAAGTCCCAGCAATTTGCGTTTTTTTTTTGGTCCATAAAATGTTTGAAATTTCTCTCATACGCCGCGTCAAACACATAACCTAAAAAAAAAAGAAAAGCTGATGCACATTTTTGGCAAAAATATAATTATTTGATATAAAGAAAAAATAACTTTCTTAATACTCATTTATAACCAACTAAAGTAGTTTTAATAGTCGGCACAAAATATACAAGTTTGTTTTTGTTCACTTTTAAAGTCTTTTACTATTTATGTACAAGCATATGTAGTTTCCTACATCATGTCATATCTACATACATCATTTATTTTCCTACCACACATGTCCTAATGTCAGATACAAGTTGTCAAATTATATGGAATTTTATTGCTCAATTATGTTAATACCTTGTGCGCATAGTCGGCGTTGCTCGCAACAAGGAAGTATACATTTCACACTTGATTTTTTTTTTCGTTAGCATCAAATCCTTCATTACCTGCTTATTTTGAAGTAGATAAAAAGTGTACTATTTTTTTTTTTTTTAATTTACTTTGCAAACTTGTTTGTTTTAATATGCCTAATTTTTTGCTTAATTGATTTGTAGTTCGGTGTTCGTAGGTTGTTTTTATGCTATAGTGTCTTATATGATCTTGGCGGCAAGTTTTTGACATTTTTATTATAATTTTTTTAATATTGCCTTTTTATATTATTCATATTTGCTTATAATTTTCTGTAATTTTTTTAAGAATTTCGTTACCATTTTTGTACACGTAACACTTATGAGCGAGTACAGTGTACCAAACTTGTTTAGATAAAGATGTATGTAGCCATATGTACTTGTATATTTAAGTAATTGTTGTAGTCGAGCAGCTTGTTTGTAGTAAGCATAATTGATTTCAAAAAGTGTTATAATTGAATAAAATGTATATCAAAATTTATTAGACAGTTTAAAATATAAATGAAAAAACGAGTTTTTTAATTTTTTTTATATATATTTCATTTTATTTAATTATGGTTTATTGTATTTTTATATATTTAATTTAATTCAGTATATTTTTTATTTCGATTTATCAAACAAATTGGGGGAGCTCGGCCAAGAAAAATTTACAAAGCGCCAATTATGTATAATATATATAAACATATATATATATATATATAAAAATAAATAAAAATATAATAAACCATAATGAAATAAAATGAAATATATACAAAAAAATTAAAAAACACGTTTTTTCATTTATATTTTAAACTGTCTAATAAATTTTGATACACATTTTTATTTAATTATATATAAATATATTTATTATTTATTTAACTTTTATTTCATACTATACGTGTATAATTTAATTTCTTTATTTTATTTATTTTTTTTTTCAAATGTAACTTCATTTTGAATTGTATTATTTTAGTTCCTTTATTTTATAGTTTTATATTTTAATTGCTTTATTATTAATATTTTTAAATATTAAATTAATTAAATATTATTATAATTTATTTTATTTTATCTCCTTTCAAATATATGATTTTATTTTAAATTATATTATTTTATTTAAATCAATTTTAATTTTTTTTGCAAGTTTTATTTGATTTTATATTATTTTAATTTACTTATTTAGTTGTTTTGTTTTTCTTTTACCTTACGATTTTTATTTTATATTTTTAATATTTTTTAATTTAATTTATTTTAGTTTTAACTTTTTTGATCTTAGATTTTTTTTATTTTTGTTGTCTACAAAATATCTCATTTTATTTTGAATCATTGTTTATTATAATAGTTTTTGTATTTTATACTATTTAATTTTTATTATATTATTTTAATTTAATTATATTTGATTTGATCCCAAGTTGTTTTCTTTTCCTTATTTTTATAATTCATTTATTTAAATTAATTTTTTTTACTTTTTTATTTGATCTTATCTAAAGTTATTTTGTTTTTTATTTAATTAAATTTGATTTTATTTTGCTGAGTTTTATTTTATTTTGCTATATTTTATTTAATTTTACTGTGTACTATTTTATTTTATATATTTTATGCCGATTTATTTTATTTCATTTTTCTTTTTACTTTACCTAAAAATTATGAGCACGCCTAGCTGATTATAACCGGAATGGGTGGGTCGGTTGCACGGCTGTGCGCATCATTTGACAGTCAATTACATTCAACGCTAAGCACCTACAAAATATATTCAATTGTTTGTAGCTCACTAAACTGTCGATATAATTGCTTTGGCATGGGTGTGTATATTTATAAAATTTGTTGTTCCAAAAATGTTTTTTTTACTAAAAGCAAGTTTTTCGGTAAATATGATTGCGTGATGAAGCCTTTGTTTGTTTAAAACACAAATAAATAGGCAGGGTTAAAATTTATATTATTTTTAAACTGCTGCTGTCATAAAATACCTTTTTGCACCTTCCTTTTATCCAACACATTTTAAATTTATTAACTAAATGAAAATTGTCGCTTGCATATTTATCGCATTCGTCATATACAATCATATTCGCAATGTCTAGTGATAACATTGACATGATTGTCGTGTTGTTTTTCTTATAGTTGCTTCCATATTTTCTTTAAGTGCTGGCAAATCGTGTGACAATAATATTGCATATTTATATTTATTTACATTTTTTAAAATGTCTAATTGTGCTGAGATGACTAATTTCACAAATTTTAGCAACCAGAAAAAAAATTAAAAAGGTACTCAAGAATATTCAATTAGTAAGCATTTTATTTTATTTGAATTTTAATTTTTTTTTGGTCTTTAACAAAAGTAGGTAATTTGCCGCTGCTGGCTGATTCATTGGTAGTTCTCAGAGACAGCTGCTTGATGAGTTAATATTCATATGATAAGTATGTATATGTTGGTAACTGTTCTTTTTGTTTTTTAAATGATTCGTAATATTCTAAAAAGAGCTCTGCTTAATTTTTTGAAAAAGGCAAAAATAAAAATTGTCTGCAAATAAGGAGACTAGTTCAATAGTTAAAGAAAATAAACAAGATGCATTTTTTCTTCAAAGATAAAATAAAATTCCAGTATACTATTTCACAACAAAAAAAAAAAAAAAAAAAAGAACAAATAAAAATAAATACAAGTAACATACAACTTGATTTTACTACTTTGTTTTATTTTATTAAATTATATTTTTTAAATATTATTTTACTTTATTTTGTTTTGTTTTAAAAAATTTTGTCACATTTGATTTAATTTTTTTATTATTATTTATTTTTTTAATTGATTTTATTCAAT